ATACTCACCACCGTCAATATTTTGAGATTTCTCAGTTTAAGCTTTTTTTCCCCCATCATATTGGCTGCAACTGGCTTCCATTGTTTTCTCATATCCAAGCCTTGTCGGGTTTTTTGGGGGGGGTTTTTTGGCCTGACGAGAAAAAAAAGTGTCACCCCGCAGAACGAGCCCAAGTTAGTGAGGAATCGTCGTCCCTTTTTTACCCAAAAGAACGAGCGGGGATGTTTTCATGTGGAAAAACAAAGAGAAGATTCATTGTAAGTGGCCCTTTTATGATTCTACCAGTTTGTTTTTTATAAGAGTGATAGCCTACTGGTCGTTTTCAGTACTTTTTCTTTCTTTTTGGTTCGCAATGCGTTAAAAAACCTCTGCCCTGTCATCCAACACCACTCTCCTATAGATTTTCTTCACAATAAAAGTCTGCTGTGATTTTGTTATTTAAACGCTTTTAATATGAAGTCTGCAAAAACCCAGGATGTGTCAGGTTTCCGATCAGCAGTAACTGTAACACGACGTTCCCATACAGCTTGACCAGCGGACCCATAGCAGTAAAATGAAAGCAGAATACTCAACAAGCAACCCAAACAGTGGAACAATTGCGCTCTGGTAAGCTAATACAACAAGTCAATGCACCAAATTACCACAATGCTGCTCATTCCTGAAGCGAGCCCAAAATGGGAAAGATTTGGAGCCTCAGCAAAAGTATCAATTTGCAAGCAGAGAAATAATATTTTGAAAGAAATTGTAATGTAAGCAAATCAATCATTTTGCTGAGGAAAAGGATATTCTGTACCTGTACTTTTTTACTGTGTACGTACTCTTCCTGGATCTATTTGGATGCACACATGATCTTGTGCTCTCTTTCTATTGTAATTTACTTTTGACAAAAGCTGAATTAATATGATGTAAAAATGTCCTTTGATTGCCCTGTAACAGAAAGGAAAAAACAACAGGTCTAAAATGATCCAAATAATACTGAATTACAAACTGATATAGATACTAGAATCGTTTCCTTTACAGATGTCCTTGAAACGTTTGTTTGTTTGGCTACCAGTAGTGTGTTACAGCTGCAGCAATAGAGATGGCAGAGAAGAAGACGCAGGAAGCCGACCCAGCTCTTTGCCCCATAGCCATTCTCTTTTTTTCTTGGTGCAGACCAGTAAGGACTTGCATTAAATTGAAGCCATGTATGGACTTACCTGGTGTATATACAACCTGTTGAGCTGTGATAGAGTTAAGCAATTTAAGCTCAAGTTCCCACTGTTTCCACAATATAAGCCTCGAACCAAAGCTGCTAGCATAGCCTGTAGACTCTTAGTGGTTTATAACTTTCTAGACTTTCTGAGCTGATCAGTCTCTCCCCTTAATATTATCACCAGATGAGTGAAGATGGGTCCTCGAGTCCAGGCGGTGTCTCTATCAAAGAGTGAGTGCATCCATGGAGCCATCCACCTCACAGCTTCTGACTCAACTTTGGTCTTGAAAAATTTAAACAGTAATATTACATTTAAGTAGTAAATAAAATTTCTCTTTTTAAATATATATTTTTTGGGCTGTTAGTCTTCATTAGATAGAGGGGTGCACAACCCCGGGTCGTTGCAGTAATGACTCAGCTTACATGGGGCATGCACTCTACAAGGTGAACTACTGTGTCTCTTTTTAGTTTGCTGTTTAGTGGAAGTCAGCAGTCCACAGCTCCCAGTGTCTCTCTCCTATTAGTTTCTGGACTTTCTGAGCTTAATCCCTTAATAGTTCACAGATGATTGAAGATAGGTCCTCAAGTCCCAGCTGTGTCCTCAAAGACGCCTTTCCTGTCTATCACTCTTTTCTTAATAGTTCACAAATGAGTGAAGATGGGTCCTCGAGTCCCAGTGGTGTCTCTATGAAGAGTGAATCATCCATGGGTCAGCCACTCAACTTTGATGTTGATAAATTGAAATGGTAATATTAAATTTTGTGCACTATTATTATCTACATTCACATTTGTACTGTATGTTATAGATGTGTTCTTGTTTGCTGAATGAGTTACTGAGTAAATATAAAGGTTCTGCACAAGTAAAAAGATTTCTCTGTTTAGTTTGACGTTGAGTGGAAGTCAACAGTCCACAGCTCCCAGTTTCTCTATAAAAAGTGAGGCATCCATGTTCGAGCCACTCAATTTTGGTCTTAAAAAGACACAAAGGTAATTCCATATAATGTTTTCTTTGAACAAAATATCTTGCATATGAAGCATATTAGTTCATCAAAGATTCATTCAGTAATTAAAACGATAAAAAAAGATATTGTATCTAAAAGCATATTAAGGTTAATTCATTAAATAATGATAGAGAGGAACCAGCAGCATGTCAGCTAGAATAAGGTGATACCTTCCTGTCTACAATGACACAAAACGTTTTCATATTTGGATTTATTTTACAGTTTTAGGCGCTGTTTTTACATGTTTTACTTTTTTTTTGTTCCCAAATTATTACTGTTTATTTAGCTTAATACACTCCAGTTAGGTCTTTGTTTGAGCACATGTGGAATCTAAATTAGAAAGTGCAAATAACACCCAGACATCTCTGGTAGTGGATCAGTTCTGTTAGCTAAACTATGCTAATCATGGTAGTCTCTGAATGTACAGCTTATACAGCAAGTGTTGTGGGTGTGGTGAACAGAACTGAAAAAACTTCTTGAAGAGAATCAGATGTGATTTAATCATTTAGAAGCATTATAGCTCTCCAGTAAATTACAGTGTCACTGAAAAACCAGGTTCGGTTAAAGTCTCTGGAAACAAAAATAACCAAAATATTAAATCCTTTGTGACGACATAACACATGTAATATAATGGCATCTCCTGAAGCATCTATAATAGGGCTTTAGCTGTGTTATAATGTTCGACTATAATGCTGTCAGTAAGTTTGAAATTACCTGTCCCTGTGTTAAAATGCAGCAGCACTGCAGTTGTCAGGATCTCCTACTACTACTGTATGAATAGAATGAATGAATTAATACAGCACAACTGATACACATCTAGCAGGACTAACGTCTCATTTGTTGATCACCCTACAGCCAGCTTCACAAGGAACCATCCAACTGTTCAGTGTGTAAGAAGGTTGTGAAGGATCCAGTCCAATCAGTCTGTGGACACTGGTCATGCAAACAGTGTGTCAGCTCAGACTGGGACCAGAGTGATTCACCAGCAGACTACCCCTGTGCCAAGTGTGGAAAGAAACTCAGAAGAGATCCTGAATACAGGAGAGATACTGAAGAAGACACTGGTAACTCCAAATCAAATATCTGTACTGCTACTATTAATGCTACAACTAGGTTCTGTATTAGGAATTTTAAGTTGTCTTTATTTTTAGAAAAGTATGTACAGTTGTTTTTTAGGGCAAACAAACAGATAAAGCATCAAGTTGCTCTCTCTAGCTCTGAGAATATAACTTTATGTGGGTGTCAGGTTGCAAATTGCTTTCAGACTTTAAACTCTGAACAGAGATTTAGAATCACAAATCCACCTTAAAGTCAAGATGTTAAGTGTGTTTGTGCTTTTTGCATGACCTATAGCTAAAACTATTTGACAATACCCACTCATTTATTATTTGTGTGCTTTTGATTGTAACAGGGGACAGCCTTATTTTGAAAGCAAAGAAGAATCTTAAAGAAGCAATGCGAAAGAGATTTACTTTGACATCTGAAGGTATTGATGACCAGAAGAGCCCCCTGAACAGAATCTACACAGAACTCTACATCACCACTGGAGAGAGTGAAGGGCCATGTGAAGAACATGCATTCAGAGACATCAAACATAAGTTGGAACGACAATCTTTCATACATTTAGTCAACCTCAGTGACATCTTCAAATCTTTGCCCAGCCAGAAGAAACCCCACAGAACAGTCCTGACGAAGGGCGTTGCAGGGATTGGAAAATAGATTTCTACTCTATCCTGCTGTTGAACTTCACACTCATTCCTCTGCATTATTTCGTCAGCTAACGTAACCAAACTTTCACTGCATTCGCACGAGCAACTGAGGGCGTAGATTTGCAAAACATGACTCCTGTTTGTTTCTCGTCCCCTACCAGAAGTCAGTGATGGCTTCTGTTAACCCTGACCACAATTATTCCCTAATTTTCTGCATTTACTCCTTTAAACATTAAGACCAGGGCCTACTACGTTGAATACCATGAGCATAAAATAGAATTAAATTAAATTAAAACTCTTGTTGCATGTCTTACTCATGTTGAAACTATGTCCATATGTGTGTGTCCTAAATTCTGCAGATTTGTGTATATAAATGTTAAAATTACTGTATTACGCAGCGCAGCATCGTCTGTGCCTCTGTTTCAATTGAATTGAATTGTTTCTCTAATATGCAAAGTATATTTAGCCTTACATGTTATATGTATTTTACCTTTTATGTTGATGTGTTTCTGATTGTTTTTCAGTGTTCCATGTAACCTGTTAATAACAAATTAAGTTGTTTACTGAATGTTGCAGTAAGAAAATAAATGGTCTAAAATCAATAAACAGGTGATGTAAACCATTTTACAAACATATTGATTTACTTTTTATCCCTTTTAATGACTAAACTGGACAAATGTGTCACTGAGCTGTTGGTTGTCTCTGATCTGTAGAAGAAATATCATTTTAAAAATGTCTCGGGATGAGCTTTAAGGGAAATAACTCATCCAGTCTGCTAGGAAATGCCTTGTATAATACCAAATCTATTTTAATATAATGTAGTTTTGATGTTTTATAAAGTATTAAACGAGCTGAAAAAGCTTTTTCTGTCTTATTGTGTCTTGCAGCTGCACTTCATTTCATATAGAGTCTCACAAACACATTTCTTCTCGTATAAATGCAATATGTTCATACAATATTTCAAGTGTATGCAGGTCCCTTTTGCAGTCACTTGTTGCCACCTCATTACTCTGTTTCTCCACTAGATGTCACTCCATCTAAACTTTGACATGAGATCAGCAAAAAAGAAAGAAATTGTCTCGTGGTTTCACTTTACTCACCGCGTCATCAGAACGACCACACTTCATTCTGTGGAAGAAACAAAGTAAGTAGTCATTCATTATTCTGCTGTTTATCTTATCCCTGTCTCATATCTAATAAAATCTGCAGGTTGCCTGTTTCATGTCGTTTACGGTTAGTTCTGCAGCTTCACTTTCAGTCTTGCAGAACAATAGGCACTGTCATTGCAGGGTATTATAATGTACTGAGGGCCTATTGCTGTAAACTTGCATTGATCACACGATCAATAACTTGATGATGAGACAATCAAATGCAGCCATACACATCATTTATTAGACGGAGATTATAACGCTATCTGGATATTCTAATGAGCTGTAGAACTCAAAGGCAACGTGGAAACAGGTGTGTGCAGAATTTATCGTAAAGAAATCTTTAGTTTCGTTTTACAACAACGTTTCACACATTCAATTCAACATGGTAGCAGCAGGCTGCAGAGTAAATAGGTTAATCGAGGTTAATCCGTTTATTACAAACCTTCAAAATCACCTAATTTGGAGATGTGTGGTTTTCACTGGACAGGAAGAATATGAAAAAAATACAAATAAATAAACAGATAGAAAATGGTACTGACTGAAACACAACTCATAGAAAAGTATTTTGTCCCTTTTTGTGCCTTTACTTGGAATAGAAATGGCTGAGAGGAAGAAGAGGAGGAAACTTCCTGAGTCTTTGTCTGAGGAGTCCTTTGAGCAGCCAATCAGCTCCTGCAGTGAGTCACCTGTCAGGTAATACAGTGTTTAGTAAATCATACACAGCCAGGCCATGGAGTTATAAGCAAAACACAGCAACAACAAAAAGTTAACCTTTTGTATTCTGATTGCCACCATGGTCCCTCATACACATGCTATCCAGCAGATATTGGCCATATAAAATGCTGCTTCACTGCCTTTCGAAGCTTTGTGTCCTCAATTTAGATTCACATTTAAGTACATTGAGTCAGTTCTGAGTAAGTTGTTCTTTTTCACAGTTTCAACAAGATCTTAAAACTTCATGAAAGTATGATTTATTTCAGGACTTCTGTGTTAGACTGTATTACTGGCTATAGGCAGACATTATAAACTGGCAACTGAGTGTATTTATAGTGTTTTTTACATTTCAGTTTGATTTAAACTGAATGTGAAGTCTTGTTTTGGGGATGTCCAGCTTAAAATGAGAATTTGAGTATGTTTAGTAGATAATACAATCTCTCCCCTTAGTTCACAGATGAGTGCAACTACGTCCAAAGATCCCAGCGGTATCTCTGTGAAGAGTGATAGTTCCCTGTTCCATCCACTCAATTTTGGTCTTGAAAAGACAGAAAGGTAATTTTAATATTTAATAAAGTTTATTGTACCTTAAAGCATATCACTGTGGTGTTATGAACAAAACACAGCAACAACAAAATGTGCAAATTGCAAAAAGTCAACCATTTGTATTCTGATCGCCACCATGGTCTTCCATACACATGCCATCCAGCAGGTATTGGCCATATAAAATGCTGCTTCAGTGCCTCAGAAAGCTTTGTTTCCTCAATATAGATTCACATTTCAGTACATTGACTCCAAGTTCTTCAGTGGTTGTTTCTTCTGATTGTGATATTTTCTTTCCAGTTTCAGCAAGAACTAAACATTATAAACTTCATGAAAGTATGATTTATTGCAGGACTTCTGTGTTAGACTGTATTACTGGCTATAGGTGGACCTTATAAACTGGAGTGTATTTATAAAGTGTATAAATTAAGTCCTGTTTTGGGGATTTTCAGCTTAAAATGCGAATGTAGCCCACAGATAAGCATTTGGAGTTGAGTACATTCATTTGTTGTTTCATGCAGCAGGTATGTTTAGTAGATAATACATTCTCTCCCCTTAGTTCACAGAGTGCAACTACGTCCAAAGACCCCAGCGGTATCTCTGTGAGGAGTGATAGTTCCCTGTTCCATCCACTCAATTTTGATATTGAAAAGACAGAAAGGTAATTTTATTATTTTTCTATAAATAAAGTTTATTGTACCTTAATGCATATTAAGGTAATTGTAATAACAATTTAACATTTAAAGTGACAAAGCCATTTGTTTTCTGTTTAAGCATGAATATTTCCTAAACTAAACCATTTTCAATTCATGTGTCTTCATCCTGTTTATATCAACTCTCATCTTTTTAGTGACAATATACAATCATGCTGCATTCAAAATGCACTTTGTGTACTGTGTTGCAGATCCCATCCTCCCATCCTCCCAATGTGCATCTGGCAAGAATAATCTGTCATTTGTTGTAATTTGTTCTTATAGACAGCAGAGTGAGGAACCATTCAGCAGTTCTGTGTATATGAAGGATTCACTCCATTTCATCACAATTCAGAGAGATATGAAGGAGGAAATGAGTAAGTTCAACTATAGACTTCACAAATATTTGTAGTGCTACGTCTACTACTACCTACAAACAATACCTACTAGTAATACTAACAGATTAGTATGTCATTATGTTGGGTGTCACAAGTTACATTTAAATGATCAGTTTGTAGGATTTAGTGTCACCTAGCGGCAAAGTTTCAGATTGCAACTAACTGAACACTGTTCACGTCTATATTTAAAGACCTGGGAATGAGAACAGGCTGTGAAGTGTGTAGGAGAATCTACGGTGGCCACAAAACTTGCGCAAAACCCGAATGGAATAAAAAAGAACTTATGTTTAGGAATCTAAATAATGAATCGTGCATTTAATTGTTACAGGGCACGCCCTAAGTTTTAAAGAAAAGAAGAATCTTAAACAAGCAATGCGAAAGCAATTCACTTGGACATACGAAGGTCAGGGTGACCGAAAATATTCTCTGATCAGCATCTACACAGCACTCTACATCACCACTGGAGAGAGTAGAGGACCACATGAAGAACATGCGTTCAGACACATCAAACATAAGTTGGAACGACAATCTTTCAGATGTTTAGTCAACCTCATTGATATCTTCAAATCTTTGCCCGGCCAGACGAAACCCCACAGAACAGTCCTGACGAAGGGCGTTGCAGGGATTGGAAAATCGTTTTCTGTGCAGAAATTCATTCTTGACTGGGCCGAGGAGAGAGAAAACCAGGACATTGATTTCATTTTCTGTCTGGCTTTCCGAGAGGTGAATTTGATCAAAGATAACAAAAGCTTGCGTGAGCTCCTGACTGAATTTTACCCTGCACTTCAGAGTTTAAAAGATTCAGATGATTTTGTCAAAACCAGAGTCATGGTGATCCTGGACGGTCTGGATGAAAGCAGACTTCAACTGGACTTCAAGAACAAGCCGGTAACATCCTGTTAATGAAGTAACATCTGTGGCAATCTCCTTTCAAACCTCATTCAGGCCAACCCTTCTTCCTACATGCTGAACTCTGGATAACATCCGTTCCAGCAGCAGCCAATCAGATCCCCGGCACAGTTTGTCCACATGGGTGGACGGAGATAAGGAGGGTTTCAGTAACCACAAAAAAGAGGAGTACTTCAGGAAGATGATTTAGTCATGACAGGAGCCTTGCTGGACAGGATTATTTTCACACATTCCACTCTTCACACAGAGTCTCGATATCATGTGCCAGATCCCGATCTGCTGCTGATTTCTTGGCATTTTATTTCAGGAGGTCTTTGGGGAAGACCGAAAAGCGTGAAACTCCTCCGAACTCTACTGAGATGATGGGCACCATTTTCTGTTTGTCCCAGACCCAAACGGCAGAATCAGAAAGTATGAGATGAAGACTGGAGGGAGAACAGAGAGAGACCTTCGACGATGCATCGAGAATTTTCTTCTGAAACTTTGCAAACTGGCAATTTTGTCCCAACTGCAGAAGAACAACCTCATCTCTCACGGACGAAGACCTTGAAGAATGTTGGCATTAACATCAAAGTAGGCAAAGATCTACTCTGGATTTGCAATGCCAAGTTCTTAGGGAAAAGAAGTATTTCCCAGAAAAAGGTCTTTTTCTTTGTGCCACCCTGATGTTCAGGAGTTCTTTGCAGTCTTTTTGTGCTATGACTTTTCACCAAAACAAAAATACCAACAGCTTGGCAAGTTTCCTTGATCTGAAGGACCAAAGAACAATTCTTTTAGTTGATCTTCTAAAGATGACAGTTGACAAAGTGGTTGGAGAAGGAGAACTGCCACCCTGGACTTCTTCTTGGCGATTCCTTCTTGGCTTATGGTTGACCTCAACCGGAGAGTCCC